CTTTCAAGCTGTTTAATGCCACTCAGCGGGGGTTGCATTGCATCAGTCCAAAAGAAGTAAAATAAAAAGCACCCATCCATAAAAAAAAAGTGTCTCACACGGCTCCGGGGGCTGAACAAAGACCTCCTGTAGCGAATCGATGCATTTTTGTAAGAAAAATATCCATATTAAAAACATAATAAACACTTTAATGTAGCTTAATGAGTCATTTATAGGCTAATTTTCATTTTTGGGTGAACTAACCCTTTAAGTCTTGTTTCATGAAAAATGTGAGATTTTCCTTAAAACAAGAAAAATACCTGTCAACAGGGTCAAAAAAAATTTGTTTTCCCTTTGAATTAAGTTCATTTTTCTGACCACACTGGCAGATACTTATTTAAGTTTTAAGCTTAAACTCACTTAATTTTGAAAGAAAATAAGACCTAATATTTTAAGTAACTAATATTATTAAAACAATTCAATACATGTAATATCTGCCAATGGGGTCAGAAAATAAGATTTCCGACTCTAAAAAACTCACTTAATTTTGATAAATGTTTTTTTAAAGAAAACAAGACTTAAAAGGCCTACCTTAAGTCCCTTTGCATCTCAAATATTGTTTTCTGAAAATATATATATTTTTTTACATGTTTTCTTGTTTTAAGCAAAAACTCTCTTTATTTTTAAACATTTAAAAAAAAGATTTGAAAAGCAAAACTGTTTTGTGAAAAAAATATCAAAAATGAGTTTAGAAAAAAAGCTTTAGAAAAAAAAATTACAAATGGGGTCAGGAAAAATAATTGTTTTCTCTTTGAATTAAGTTTATTTTTCTGACCCCACAGGAAAATATGTTTTCTTGTTTTAAGCTTAAACTCACTTAATTTTGTTCAGTTGTTTCAGAAAAGTCATCATTCTGCTTCTCAAGTCTTGTTTTTTTTAAAATATCGATCAAAATGCTGTTAATTCAAATGCATTTTGTTTGGTCGTTTTTTCAGAAAACAAGACTTCATATCTTGTCATTTTGCTTCTCAAGTAAATGTATCTTGATTTAAGAATTTTTTGACATTTGTACTGGAAAACTAAACAAAAATACAGATGAAGAACCTGATTTTTTGCAGTGCGTGGATTGGTCAGGTGAGGGACTGTCTGAAGATCTTCCCCTGATGTATGCACAAAAACACCTAGACACAAACACACACGTCTGACAGAGGAAAGCACTTCTGATTGAGACCCAACTGCTCACTCGCTTGCTTTAAAGTGCTCATTTCTACACTTCACAATGAAAGAGCCCCTCAAGAGCATAAGACCAGACCAAAACCACCAGAAACCGCATCGCAGATGCTCATCTATAAATAAATATGATTATTAAATCTGTTCATAGGCAAGTTTATATTCACAGAGCCCTCAAAGAGGCTACGGCAAAACCTCCTAAAATCATGAAACATGATTTTGTGATTATAAATATACAAATGCTACAATTTATATGCAAAACAAAATGATTCATTATCAGTATTTATGTCTGTTTTTCTAAAATATCTAAATATCATTCAAACAAAATTTGAAGTGAGTTGATTTTTCTTACAATGCAAAGTTTTAATATCTTCAAGTATTTCAATTTGTACTTCAATTTTCTTTACTCTTATTACAATAGCAATGGATGACATGCGATTCTTTAATTGCTCTTGCATTTATAATTATTTTTCTTCCTTTTTTAAGATTAAATCTAACTACATTTATTCAGAATTGTGATTTTAACAATTTGCCAATAAAAAAATAAAATTAATTGAAGATATATAAATACTTTGAAAACTCTTACTAGCTCAGTCTTAACATCTTCAAGTATTTTCATTTGTTCTGAACTTCCTTTGCAATTTATTATTATTATTATTTTACAATACAATAATAGATGATATGCAATAAATTAATTTCTCTTGTATTTTTAAATATTTTTCTTTCTTTTTTCAGCATAAATCTAACAAAATTAGGTCAGGTTTAAGCTTAAAACAATTTGCCAATAACATAAGAATATAAGGAAAATAAGCAAAGATACAGACTTCAAAAACTCTTAATAACTCAAAGTCTTAATATCTTAAAGTATTTGAATTTGAAATAGATTTTTTTTACTCTTATTACAATAACAATGGATGACGAGCAATACTTTTATTTCTCTTGCATTTCTATATATATATATATATAAGAAACTAATTAAAATTAACTTAATTGACGATACAGTGGGGAAAAAAAGAATTAAGTCAGCCACCAATTGTCAAGTTCTCCCGACTCAGTACTAAACATGTTAGTTTCTCTTGCATTTCTAAATATTTTGCTTATTTCTAAGTCAAAAAAGCGATATGCTGCAAAAGAATTCACTGTGTGAGCAAAAAAAAGGATTCATGAAGAGATTCAGTGGTTAGACAAGAAAAAGAAACAGATCAGTGTAGGCATGTAGAAAAGCACGAATGTCCATACGCTCCGTGTTTGCCATGCATTCTGAGATATTAAAGATCTCAACTGGACGAGAAGATCTGCCAAGAAGAAGTTCCTCTTTCTGGGGTCAAAATCAGGAAAATGAGCTGAAGTGGAAGATCGTATCCGTTTGTCCATCCACAGTGAGATGAGTCGAACGAAAGGAGCTCGACAAAGCAAACAAAGGAACAGATGAGATAATTAACGAGGCAACAGGTGAACAGAACGATTAATCCAACAGACTGAGAACCTATAGGTCATGTTCGAAACACAACGAGACATACATGTAACAGCTATCAGTTATGATATGCCTAGACAGAGAAAAACACACAAAAGTTTGCGACTTCTAAAACATATTCTTCTAATACATAAACTACAATATTCAGTTTAAGCAACTGTCACTTCATAAAAAGATTAGAAATAACTCTTTATATAATAATAACTCTCATTTCATTCCCATTCAACAGTTTCATTTTATTTTTTATGAATCGATTTTTACATTTATTTATAATGATAATGATTGATTATCAAAACATTTTCATCACATAAAAATTAAAAATGCAATATTCAGTTTAAGCAACAGTCACTCACTTCATAACAACAATAGTTTAATTTGTTCATTTTCTTCTAAACTGATGTTTTTACTTATCAAAATATTCAGCAACTAAAAATTCAAAATTCAATTTAAGCAATAGTCAATCACTTCCTAACATTAGAAAAAAACATTCTATTTTAAACTATTGTTATAATGTTGTATATGTGCACTATGTTATAGTGTTATTTTTTCAATTTTACGATTTAATTTTAAAACATTACAAATTATTCAGACAAAAATGCAATATTAATTTTTTGCATTTGCCAATCACTTTGTAATAAATGTATAAATAAATATTTAATTGTATTGTCACTATATTATCAGGTGCTAAACTCAATATTAATTTAAATGGATACATTTTTATTAACTCATGTTTTATTATTTTATGATTTATTTAAAATAATTGACAATTTGATTCTTTAAAATACATTCAGAACATAAAATAAAAAACAAAAATACAATCCATATGTAGTAACATTAGAAATGACTTGTTTTTTTCTAACATTTATAATATATATTAACTGATTTTTGTATTATTATTCTTTGATTTATTTATCCAGGTGTTTAGATTTTTTTTTTTTAATAAATGTATAATATTCTCCACACTTACACAATCGTCAAAAATTCTAGTTAAGGATAAGTATTTATTTTAATGATCAAAACTGTGATACCAGAATTAACAGGGAAATTATTTAACTATGCATCCAGATTTCCTCCAAATCAACACACCTGTCATTCAAAAGTTAATAACTTTTCAGCAGAATTCACAGATAAAGTCTACAGCTTGCATCTGATCCTGATTGAGTCACGAATTGTCTCAGGAGAACCTGCTGATTTACTCACGGTGACCGCGACAGATCCCAGCAGCAGCACCACGGAGTAAACCAGTCCCCGACTGTTTATCATCACCTGTACGGAGGCAGGACACAGTATCATGAGCTCCCACAATGTCACTGTGCCATTACAATAAAAACAGATCTCGTGTTTCAAAGCTCCTGGTTTGAGAGGAGTTTAAACAGAAAGAGCTGCTGGATGTGCTTACAACTGATCCATAATTGACTGCCATGGTCTGCAGCGCCCAGGGAACGCCGAGCCCCACCAGAATGTCAAAGACGTTACTGCCGATGGTGTTGGACACGGCCATGTCTCCCAGACCTGCAGAAACGAGACCTGCTTTCACACTGAACAAGCAATGCCGACTCATCATGCAGATTCAGAGGTCATTTCTCCTAAAGCAATGCAAAATAAGTGTGATGTGGCTTGTCATGATATAATCAAAGTGTAGCAATGAAAAACGGAACTTAATGGGAAAAAATAACTTATTAAATGCATTTTATTCATGACAACTCTCAGAAGATTTTAGCATGGTGATGGATATGACAATGTTAATGTATTTGGTCTTGGCGGAATACATTTGCTACGCTGCTGATGTTGGTTATTGCTGTAGTTGTAGATTATTGCTGCTGCTGCAAGCAAGTACAGGAACTTGCTACTGCCAATGCATATGGCAATACGGTGCAGTGAACATTTAAGACATACTGCTGCTGCACAAATAGCATATAAAATAACCCGTAGCAGATCTATACAGGTGGAGCTGGGGAAGGTGGAGGGTTTTAGAGAAACTCTGAAAGCGCGCTGCAGGAATCTCTAGTGAATGCTAGCCAGCCATATAAATGCAAGGCAGTACGCTCATTGGCTGCATATGCAGCATGAACCAATCAGCTTGTGCCAAGTTGTTTAGCTCTCTGAATATCATCGGTTACGTTAACAAAACATCAGCCTGCGCCATCCGAGTTTCATTACTAAACTATATATTTATCGGTGGTGAAAAAGTAATACGCAACATAATAAGGAAAGCAAAACAATAAGAAAGTGGTGATACGGTGCAGTGAACATTTAAGACATACTGCTGCTGCACAAATAGCATATAAAATAACCCGTAGCAGATCTATACAGGTGGAGCTGGGGAAGGTGGAGGGTTTTAGAGAAACTCTGAAAGCGCGCTGCAGGAATCTCTAGTGAATGCTAGCCAGCCATATAAATGCAAGGCAGTACGCTCATTGGCTGCATATGCAGCATGAACCAATCAGCTTGTGCCAAGTTGTTTAGCTCTCTGAATATCATCGGTTACGTTAACAAAACATCAGCCTGCGCCATCCGAGTTTCATGACTAAACTATATATTTATCTGTGGTGAAAAAGTAATACGCAACATAATAAGGAAAGCAAAACAATAAGAAAGTGGTGAAAAAAGTGTTGACAAAAAGAATAGCAATGCAAAACTATAAATGAAACCGCAAAAAGTGCATTTTACGAAAATATAATGTAAAAATATATTTATATTACTGCTTTTAAGTATAAAAATGACATACCGTGCCAGAAATGACATGTTATGTCAATTGCTAAGTCTTTTAAATAGAAATGCAAATCTATAAAGCAGCCACAAGAAGTGTTTCCATAAAGAGTTATTTTATAAAACAAGATACGATTTAGTCAAATAAAAAATTCAATTATTATTATTATTTAAAACATTTATCATTACGTCATCACTATAAAAAATATTGGTCCTTTTGTTTGAGAATCCTGAAACACTGGCTCCAAAACATGGACTATAAAAATTACATTTCGTGCCAGAAATTACACACTTAATCTTTTAGATACATACATTTAAACTTCAATGTAAGATGAGCCTCGGTATTTTTCTATGGCTGGAAAAGTCAAAAGAGAACCGTTACAAACTCATCCTAAAAACTATACTATGTAATCTTGTATTCTGCATAGGGCAGGCAGCATTGAGATGCACTTTTGATTAATAATGATTAATGTCTGAGTGATTAATAGTGGCACAGGAACAGGAAATCACATTATGTGTGCTGGAGCGCTTTGATCAGATACATGAAGGTAAAAGAGTCTGTATTTCATGTTAAATTCATCCTGCTCTAGTTTTATTGATCAGAAGGACGCGATCGATCTACCTTGACGAGCCACGATCAGGCTGGCGATGCAGTCTGGGACGCTCGTGCCCGCCGCCAGAAACGTGATGCCCATGATGACATCGGGAATGCCGAGCGTGTATCCGATGATCGTCACCTACAAGACAGAGTAAAGCTTCACTAAAAACAAGACAGACTAACTGGAGAGAGACACTGACAGACGTGAGGCACCTACCATCCACACCATGAAGTAGGAAAAGACGGCGATCCAGACAGTGGAGAGGATGAAGGAGAGCATGAAGTATTTCTCCCAGCGAGACTTGGCACAGTTTGGGATGGTGAAGTACAGGATCAATAACAATGGCCAAGAGATCAGCCATTTAGTTCTGTTCATACAGCCGTCTGAAACACACAACGGACTGTTTTAAAACCACACTGCAGTGCTGGAAACTAATTTTCTGCTCTTGCTTACAAACTAGATATTGTTCATTTAACCCTCATGCTGTGTTCCTATCATTTTGAATGGCATAGGATTTTATTTTTCCTATAGCAGGTATAACAGCTTCCCAACACTGAAAAATTAAATCATTTTTGTATTTTTCCCCAGCTTTTTTGACCCGGGTCAAAAATTACCTGCCTACAAAAATTGCTTGTAAATCTCTCATTATACTACCTTATTACCATATATTGGATTCAATCTTTTTCCCACTCAGTTTTTGAGTGATAACTGCCAAAATGATCCTCAAATTATGCTTTTTTTCACTGGAAAACTGAGGTGCATGAGCTCAAATCAATGAGGCCTCAGTCAATCAGTAGCAAAAAGAAATACAAAACCTGGAGTAATAAAAAGTAAACAAGTTGACAAAAAGATTGAATTCAAGATATGTTAATAATAAAGCATACATTTATATATTTTTTGTACTTTGTTACACTCGTGGTGTTCCGGGTCAAAAATGACCCGCCTACAAAAATTGCTTGTAAATCTGTCATTATGCTATATTATTACCACATATTAGATTTAACTTTATCAACTTGCTTTCTTTCAATTAGCACAGGTTTTGTATTTGTTCTTGGAACTGACTAATCATAGGTTTCACTGATCTCAGCTTTTGAGTGGAAATTACCAAAATGATCTAATACTAAACCTGTGCATGCAAATGAAAAGAAAACTGAATGCAAGATTTGGTGTTTATATACCATAATGAATGCAATTTTTTAATGCTAGTAATTTTTGACCGGGAACACCACATTAGGTCATTTTCAGCACAGCACAAAGGTTAAAAAGCTTATATTTGCTCCTTAAAATACTCTTTCTGAGGTGCTTTTTGATTTCTATCACATCCGTTTCTTTTATGAATGTATTTGGTGATTTTAGCAGAAAAATGGTCTTCTGAAAAGTAACAGTAACTCTCTTTTACTCACCTGGTAGTTTGAACGGTGAGGTGAGTTCACTCTCTTTATCTTCAGTGGTTTTGTCTTCTGGCACGTTTCCATTCTCGATGTCTGGTTTGCCGTCCACCACAGCTGTCTCCACACCGTTAGCCGACTGGACCAACCTCTGACGCTACACACAACAAACACGCTTTTCTAGAAGTGCACCAGTGTTAAAAGCCTGGTTGATACCGATAAGCTGATGATAAATTGCTGATAGTACATTTTTTTTAATATTTTGTGAAAAATAACATAGCAACAATCAATTAAAAACCATTCAGGGATCACAACATTATAATGCACAGTTTGAACAATTACATTTCATTTCAATTTTTGATGAAAATAATAGTCAACAGTCTTATAAAATTATTTGAACTGAAAAGTTTGTGGTCAGTTCGATTTAAAAAAATAAATTAATATTTGTACTCAGTAAGGAAGGACACATTAAGACATTTATAATGTTACAAAAATTTATATTTTCAAATAAAAAGAAGAAATAAAGGCTATTCGTCAAAGAATCCTGAAAAAAAATGTATCACTGTTTCCAGAAAAATATTAAGCCGTTTTCAACATTGATGATAATAATAACAAATGTTTCCTGAGCAGCATATCAGCATATTAGAATGATTTCTGAAGGATCATGTGACACTGAAGACTGGAGTAACGATGCTGAAAATTCAGCTTTGATCACAGGAATAAATTACTTTTTAAAATATATTCACATAGAAAACAGTTATTTGGAATTTTAATAATATGTCACAATATTAATGTTTTTGCTGTATTCTTTTTTAAATAAAAAGTGCATTGGTGAGCAGAAGAGTCTTTCAAAAACATAAAAAATACAGACCCCAAATTTGACTTTATTTATATTATATTATATTTATATACATATATTTTAATTGTCATGAAAATAATGACACAGTAATAATTAATAATAATAATAATACAAAACAATATTTTAATAATTTATTTTGCGGGCAATTTCTTGAGATTCAACCTTTCATGTCTTTATACATTCTTCAAATACTCTGCAAATATATATGCATAATTTTTTTTAAATAATGATGAATATTCCAATATTTTTATTTCTTTTTATTTCAATTTCGTGTCTGCCATACCTCTGTTATAATGAGACGGCTGGCCATGCGCAGACGAGTCTTGGGTCCGAAGTGGTTTGTGACCATCACACGGAGACCGGCTTCAGGGAAACGGTAATTTGGAGGACTGGCGTTGATGATTTCATCAACCATGACCACCGAACCTCGACTGTAAACCTTACTGGACTTGACTTGAGAAAGACAAAATAAATATCCATGAAATACACACAGAGTATATTAGGACTGATTTCTTTCTTGATATTCTAAAACGACATGTTTATATGAGACATTTACTCCTCTATCTCAAATTATTTAGCTGCATTTTCAGAGAAGCATCAGAGAAAGAGTGTGCAGTAAACGCAGAAAGGTTTAGTAAGACTAAACAGGCAGGCAGAGTTAAACGTGAAGATACCGAGGCCAGAAGCAGGCAGATGAAGAATGAGGAAAGAGACCAACTCTGGTGGAAAGACAGCAGGGAGAAAAGAGACAGAAGTGATGGCAGTGACGTTACCTCTCAATCACAGACGGAGAGAAGCAGGAAGAAAAGTGCTGAGATCTCAAGAGCTGCAAAACAAGGTTTCTCACACACTGAAGCTGCTTTAATACAGAACCTGGAGGACGTTTCTCTCATAAAGACAAAATAAAACTGGACAAAAGTCCAAACCAGTCGTGCTGTTCAGAGCATGTGCAATAAATGAGAAGATCAAGGTGTCCAAGAAATATATTTTAAAAATCTACTTTAAAAGAAATACATCTAACTCAACCAAAATGCCATCTTTGTTTTCATGTTGCCTGAATAATAACCTGAACTAACCCTCAAATGAAAAATAATCAGATATTTTTAAGAATAAAAATCTTACTGGTAAAAATGCCTATGAGAAGAACTTATCAGTATTAACAATACAAGATTATGCCAAATTTAAAAAAATTTTAAAAAATTTTTTTTAATTCAATAGATGTCACTGCATGTTTTTTAATAACTTTAAAGATTATGCCAAGATACCGATTTTGACAATTCTTTAAAAAAAATAATTCTGCCTTTTGAAATGTCTGCAAATGTAGTATATAAAAATATTGCAATTCAATAACTGAAAACATTATTCAAGTCACAGTATTTCTGAATTGTTTTTTCAATGTTTTTTAAATAACTTGAAAGGTTATGCCCAGATATTTTGCCAAATTAAAAAAAAAAAATAATAATAATTTCTGCTATTTAACAAAGCATTTATTTCTTCATTATGAGCTTCTTAATTTAATAATAATAACAATAATAATAATAAAGTGAAGTGACATGATGTGACGTGTAGCTAATAATAATATAATTTCATGTAATATATTTAAACAATGTAATTCAGTAAGTAAAAATATCATGCAAGTCACAGTGTGTATGAATAGCATTTCTCATTTTATAGACATATACATAAAAACACCCTAGAAAGATTAAAATTCAGATGACTTGCAAAAACTTGCAGAACATTTAAACATATATTACATTTCTAGCAGTGACTTTAGTCAAACCAAATATGGTAGAGTTTTCTACCATATTTGTTCAAAAAATGTGACAGGTGACCTCATACTTGTACTGAGGGTGACATGGGTATGGAATTATGGATTATGACTTATAATACATCTGTATTTTTAAAGCCTGTCTGTTTAGTCTTACCTGGACCCAGCAGCGGTACTGACAGATCGCCCCAGTTACAGTCTAAACTGTCTTTACCGTCCTCCAGTTCACTGCCGGCCGCTGCGTTTCCATTGGCAACGTTCTTGTCGCTCCGTCTTGTGAAAAACTTCTGCAAGCTTGCATTAAATCTAATAAAGACAAAAACAAAATGAGAATTTTCTTCCAGAGAGTTTTAGTCTCTGCTGCTCTCCAAGGCTGCAATTATTGGATCATAAATACAGTAAAACAGTAATACTGTAAAATCTTTAAAATAATACTTTTCAACTTGAATATATTGTAAAATGTAATTTATTGCTGTGATCAAATCTGAATTTCTAGCATCAATACTTCAGTCTTCAGCGTCACATGATCCTTCAGAAATCACTCTAATATGCTGATTTGCTGCTCAAGAAACATTTCTGATTATTATCAATGTTGAAAACAGTTGTGCTGGTTTATATATTTGAAAAAAAAACCTGTAATGCATTTTATTTTTCAGGATTCTTTGATGGATAGAAAGTTCAAAAGAACAGCATTTATTTGCAATAGAAATCATTTGTCACGTTATAAATGTCTTTACTGTGTATATAAACTCACTTCATGATGAGGATATATACAGCATACATGACCACCAGCACCAGACTCTCCCACCTGAAGCACAACATCAAAACCACATGTCAGATGGAAATTTACAAAAATCTGACAGGAGAGGAAAATTAAAACAGACTCACCACACAATCTTGTCATCATAGATGAACTGATGTCACATGACAAGACAAACAGAAAGATAATCAGTTCTGTTACCGTTTAGTTAGTAAGTATATCTGAATATATATATAGTGGTGGCGAAAATTATTAGAACACTAGTATTTTCACAAGCTAAAAAATGGTTTTAAGTCAGTTATTTCTATCTGTAGTGTGTCAATAGGAAATACCAGGGTTTTTTTTTTTTTTTTAACAGAGCAGATATTAATTTGAGACTCACCACAATTAGAGCAACTACAGACAAAATGTAGAAGAAAGAGTCACGGAAAACAGCCCACCAGGTCAGTAAGACCACCTACAGACAACAACACAGACTACTGTTAAATACATAAATGCAGGAAGATACACTGTACACTGAATATGACCTATGATTTACAAACAGAGAAAACAAAGCAAAAACATGAAACTGAATAAAACAATAAAACTTAATTATGTTGACGTAATTCAGGCACTCTAGTTGTTATCTCAGAAATAAAATGAAATTATTTTTAACTGCATTTTGTGTAAAAACCTTTTCTCATCAAATGAGTAAATACATTAACAAATAAATAATTAAACCAAAGAAAATAATGAGTTAAAGAATAAAAAAAATGCAGTTCATATTGAAAAAAACAGGGTCAAGGTTAAAGGTGGGGTAAGCGATTTTTCAAAAACGCTTTAGAAAACTGATTCGGGCCAAATAGCAAATCAAACTTGTAGCCAATCAGCAGTAAGAGGCGTGTCTACTCATGATGTGGAGGAGAGAACGCTTAGTGTACAGGACGGACATTAGCCGAGACGAGCTACAGAAAGATAGAGATGGCGGATTAAAAACAAAAGAGGAAAACGTCTGCGTAACAAAAGAAAATTGAAAAGTTGAAAATCATTTGAAATTTGTGTCAATATAGAACGCAGCAGCAGTTTTCTGTCGGGGATTTGTCGTGTCGTGCCGCATCCAGTGTAGACCATAGATATGTATATACAGTATATATCTCTATGGTGTAGACAGCATCACTGATTATAATAAGTTCTATAGTATTTTGTTGTGCCGCACCGCTCGGGTCTAATCGTTGCCTGGGTTGCGTACGTATGTGTGGGGCGGAGCTATCAAAAGAGGGGCAAGACCCTTTTGGGGTAGGGACTTGGGGTGGGGTTTGTTTTGGTGATTTCAAATGTCAACATTGGCTACCAGAAATCGCTTACCCCACCTTTAAGTTGGAAGGTAAAGTTTCTTAGTGTGAAGAACATTTTAATAATCTGAAGAATCTTTTTCCACTATAAAGAACCTTTTGTGGACTGGAAAGATTCCATGGATGTTAAAGAGTCCTCATGGAACCATCAGTGTCAATAAAGAACCATTTTATTTTCAAGAATGAAGTGTTTTTGAGGTTATTTGGACATACATTTCTTGATGTCTCATTACAGATTCTTCATATCAGTGTTTTGGGGCTGGTTTCTTTAATGCACCATTATATAGATGATTTTCTATAGATGCATCAATAAAATATTGCTCACTTGGAAGTCCAATTCTTTCCTACAAACTGGTTCTTTCGGACAGTTTGTTTCAATGAACTGATTCACCAATTTATGTAAACATGCAATGACATAAAGTATACATATCATAAGTGCTATTTTTGCACAAGTAGACCGATCATTTCGCTTCATAAGATCTCGATATATCGTCAGGATCCACAGGGATTCATTTTCTCTTGCCTGATGTGCTTTTTAGACTCTCAAAGTGACGGTAGCCATTGACTTGCATTTTATGAATCACCAAGGACCACGGTTTCAGCTCAAAATCTTCTTTACTGTTCTACTGCAGAAAAAAAGCCACCTACATCTTTGATAGACTGAGGCTGAGTAAACTCAAGTTTAGGTGAACTGCCCCTTTAAGGCTTCTGTTGGAGAAGATGCACAAACACCCCTGTCTTCAAGAATGAAGTGTTTTTGAGGTTATTTGGACATACATTTCTTGATGTCTCATTACAGATTCTTCATATCAGTGTTTTGGGGCTGGTTTCTTTAATGCACCATTATATAGATGATTTTCTATAGATGCATCAATAAAATATTGCTCACTTGGAAGTCCGATTCTTTCCTACAAACTGGTTCTTTCGGACAGTTTGTTTCAATGAACTGATTCACCAATTTATGTAAACATGCAATGACAAAGTATACATATCATAAGTGCTATTTTTGCACAAGTAGACCGATCATTTCGCTTCATAAGATCTCGATATATCGTCAGGATCCACAGGGATTCATTTTCTCTTGCCTGATGTGCTTTTTAGACTCTCAAAGTGACGGTAGCCATTGACTTGCATTTTATGAATCACCAAGGACCACGGTTTCAGCTCAAAATCTTCTTTACTGTTCTACTGCAGAAAAAAAGCCACCTACATCTTTGATAGACTGAGGCTGAGTAAACTCAAGTTTAGGTGAACTGTCCCTTTAAGGCTTCTGTTGGAGAAGATGCACAAACACACCTGTCCAGCAAAGATCCCACAAACTCCGATGATGCAGAGGATATTAAAGACGGCAGAGCCGACGATCGTTCCAACTCCAACATCACCGTGAGTGATGAAGACACCTGGAAACAGACACAATGAACAAAAGTGCAGCACGAAAAGAGTGGGAACAACGGTTGTGTAACTTTACCTATAACAGAAGCGAAGAGTTCGGGCGCTGAGCTCCCCGCCGCCATGAACGTGGCTCCAGCCACATCCTCGCTCAGATTCAGCTTCTGCACAACACAACAGCAGCAGACGATTCACATCCAACAGAGCCTCTGGCACAAACACCGCCCAAATCTGGAGCAGTATGTTTTATGAGCTTCTGAAAGCCTCAAAGTGGGTCAGAGGAAGAACAGCGCAGATTCTGCTGCTCTCACTGTACCGCGGTATTACTCAGATCAACTGGGAATTCGCTTCTGAACAACCCTACCTCACAGATTTTCTCAAGAGACATCACGAAGTAGTCGTCGCACACGATCGCCAGGGCCAGGAACATGTAGAGAGCCTGTAAGAAGACCACAGAAGACTGTAGAAACCTCAATTCCAAAACCTCAAAACCTCAACTTATTTCTCCTAAATACCAATGAGGTACACATGGAGACTTTTATTTAAGTCTCCTGCTTCTTAGATGTTGCTCCTATGAAAAAAATACCAGTAAAGATCTCAAAAGTTTCTCAAACTGAGCTCAGAGTTGCCAGTATACTATAGTCTGCAATCAAAAGTCAGAGATTTCATTGTGAACCCAAACATTTCTCATCAAATACTCCTGGACCAAATGATCAAAGTTATAATATCCACATTTATTTTTAGCTCTGTAATTTTAAGCCAGAAATAGCTATGACAATACAGAGGTATGAATGTTTTTATTTTTTAATACTATTTACTCACAGGATGTACCGCTGATTGTGGTTTAAGTGCATATGGCATAGCAAGTTAGAGCTGACTAACAATGTTTATCAGTGTTGTTGCTATTATTAACTAAAACCGACTACTAAAAATTGTTTTTGTCAACTGAATTTAAGCTGAAAAACATAAAAGCACATAGAAATCTCAGAAAATAAATCTTAAAAACCTTAAAGGGTTAGTTCACCCAAATTCTGTCATTAATTACTTGTGTCGTTCTAAACCCGTAAGACCTCCGTTCATCTTCGGAACACAAATGAAGATATTTTGGTAATTACATTGCTGTCTATGGGAGGATCAGAGAGCTGTCAGATTCCATCAAAAATATCTTAATTTGTGTTCCGAAGATGAACGGAGGTCTTACAAGTTTGGAACAACATGGGGGTGAGTAATTAATGACAGAATTTTCATTTTTGGGTGAACTAACCCTTCAAATCTTAAAAAACATTGAAAAACAAAACGTTTAATAAAACATTTTAGCATAATGTAAATTTTTTTTATTTTTTTGCCTTGGTAACTACGTAACTGAAACGAGTGTAAGAACTAAAAGACTAAAACAAGAATTTAAATTAATAACATGAAATTGCTCAAACTAAAATAAAAACTGAAAATATAAAAAAAGCTAATTATATTTTTAAAATATTATTAAATACTATAAAAGTCTAAATACTAAGTACTAACTAAATACTAAGATAACACTGATCTGTATAGCAGTTATTTTTGTATCACTGATATATACTATTATAGTTATTTAAATTAGATTTTATTTTTATATTTTGCTATCATTTTAAAGTTTTAGTAATATTTTTGTATTTGTTCATTTTGTTAGTTTCTGTTATATACTGTACAGTTGTAGGTTTTGGTTATTTTAGTACTTCAACAAGCTAAAAACGAAAATTTTGAAATGTTGCAATGGAAATTAGGTGAAATAAAGTAAGTTTAAGGTTTGTAATATTTTAGTTTAGTTTAGTTCTGTTTAGTTTATTTATTTTATTTTAGCTATGTTTATTTTATTTCAAGTAATGTACATTTTTTTAATGGTTTTTAAAATACATTACTAGACATTCACAGTATGTTTCTGACCTTACTGTATGTCAACTATTGACCCAGTGTGTCTCTATTCACGTCTCCTAGAACAAACACTTTGAGGAGAAGCACATGTGAAGAAACCTCACAAACCCCTGAGAAATGAAAGCTTCCAGAAGCCCGCTGGCCGCGTTTGCCTGCCGTTTATCACGGCTGTCAGCTCCAGAACGCCGTTTCTCCTCCTCTGCATGCACAGTGTGTCCTTGCTCTCCAGTCCTGACTGATCCAAACCTCTGGATTCACATCTGCATTCACTGCAAAGCCTTTCTTCATCTAGCTTAATGATCTGCCAACCCAATACAAGCTCCTGCTTATCCACAATTTGAAACCAAAGCAAATGCAAGCAGACACTACGATGACCTTCAGCAGTGAGGATGACGATGGCATCATAACACGAGGCACGTTTGTTAACTTAGAAAGGTGATTTGCACCTAAAACAGCCATAGATTTTCCATCCTTGTAATCAAATAGGCTGTTTTTACTTGAAACAATAATGTACAGTATGTGGAAAATAATGTGTTTTTTTAACCTTAAACCGCATAAACACATTTCATTACACCAAATACACAAAATAATGTTCTTTTTAGCAACATCATATGACCCCTTTAATACATATCACAATACTTTGCCTACTTGATTAAACACAGTACTTTAGATTTGTTGTTTTGCATTACAAGTTTAAATGTTATGTTTAAATATGCAAATGTGTATTATATAATTAAATATGCACTACTTTGCATACATTGCCAGAAAAGAAATCTGAATATTAGATAAAGTCAGGTTCAAAACTCTTGTTTCATTTTGTTTACAAATTAGAGTTATGGGTATTTATTGAGGGGATTTTGGATTTGTCTTTTTATTGCTCACTAAATCAGAAAATACTGTCAAAAGCCAGGGAAAAAAAACATTTTCACCATTTGTGACACTGGACCACAAAACACTGGAGTTGTCTTAAGTAGCTGGGGTATATTTGAAGCAATAGCCAAAGAAACATTGTAAGGATCAAAATTATTGATTTTTCTTTTATACCAAAAATCATTAGGATGTTAAGTAAAGATCATGTTCCATGAAGATATTTTGTAAATTTCCTACCGTAAATATATTAAAACTAAAAAACCTTTTTGCACCCTCAGATTCCACAATTTCAAATAATTGTATCTCTGCCAAATATTCTATCCAAACCATACATCAATGGAAAGCTTATTTATTCAGCTTTCATGTGATGTATAAATTTCAATTTCGAAAAATTGACCCTTATGACTGGTTTTGTGGTCCAGGGTCTCATATTATTAGGAATAAAACATTACATAAATCAGATTAATAATATATAAACAAATCCCTCTGGGGGGGGAAAAACTTCAGAATATAGATAATAATAAAACCAAAAGTTTGGTGTATGTAAAGATTTCTGGCTCATTTTGAGAAAACATTTAAAAATCTACACATGCAAATAGATACACTTTAATAAAATACACCTAAATGTGCATTTTGGATATTTTCTTTCCACTAGTCTGAAGAAAGGCATGTTATGGAACCAAAATGACCAGTGTCTATAAATAAAAATTGTAAATAAGCCACAATAATAACTTATAAACAGCAAATGTGTCAATAAAACTTACTAACATCCATTAGGGGTGATTTGCTGGTAAGCATTTTACAGACCATAAAAAAGCATCAATTCCCTTCATGACTGTAACAAACAGCATAAATTACAGTATAGTTATCATTCCAGATGGATATTTCCGTGATCGTTTCCAACCACAGGGGGCACCAAAGGACAGAAATCCCACACACGGCACGTCCTGATTGTTTGTGTGAATGCATAATTCAGTCCTGAGCCATGTGTGATGCAAACATTAGAGTGGCGGCATTCCATAACCACAGGCAGATTTTAATTGTGCTGCTCATAGCTGATGGAGTTAAAAAACTGAAAACAGCAAAGAGATCAAATCATGCCGGGGAGCAGCAGTGAATGTGCATCATTACTGTGACCAAATTCTCTTCTTTATACCTTTACCAAACTTCTGTGCAAAAATAACCCGGATCAAATTTCCCAGTGATGCAATTTTCTAAATGTACTTTGCTAATCTGAGGAAAGAGAGAGAGATAAATGGACTTCCTTACCGCTATGATATGCAGCAGCACACCACCGCTCTTCCGCTCATCGTTGGTGAAAATATCATCTGGAAATTCACGGATGGCTGTAAAAAACACAAACACACATTTACAGTCATGCATTTTGCACCGTTTCGGATTAAAAACCGCAAAAGAATAGTCTTGTTTTCCATTACAAATATCTAAACGCTTAACTCAAGATACATTTAAGCAAAATGACTCAAGATGTTAGGTCTTGTTTTTTGGAAAAGTTATCAAAATTAAGTGACCTTTTTTTTCTTAAAATGAGAAATTTTTTTTCTTATTTTGATTTATCTGATATCAAAGTAAACCAATAAGCTACAAGAAGTGCAATCCATTAGAACATAATCAAATGTATTAATTTATCTTTGGTATAATCATCTACTATACATGCAATTATACTGTGCTACAACTACTATATATCTACAGTATAATCATCTCTTAATACAAGAAAAGCTCATTTGCATAATATATTAAGACATAAGAGATCTTAGGCATAAATTTTACAAAACTATGTTGTTTCCACCATGGGCAAAAAAGGTCATTGTAATTTTTTATCCCATAATTCTGCATTTATATCTCGCAATTCTGACTTTTTATTTCAGAATTGAGAGATATAAACTCAGAATTGCAAGATATAAATGCAAAATTATAAGATTTAAAGACAATTGTGAGCTATAAACTCGCAACTGCAAGAAAAAGTCAGAATTGTGAAATAAAGTCGCAATTACCTTTTATATTTTGTGTCAGAAACAGACTTGCGAGAAAGTGAGTCAGAATTCTGAGTTTATACCACAATTTGAGAAAAAAGTCTGAATTAAGTATAATGTAGAAACTTTTAAAGCTGCTTTGCAACTATTTGTATTGTGAAAAGCACTATACAAATAAACTTGAATTGAATTGTGAGACAAAAAGACACATTTCTTATTTTTTTATTCCATGGCAGAAATGTGCTTCCATTCAAAAGAGAGATTTTTAGGTTTAAAACAAGAAAAATGTATAAAATAATAATAATAATGTAATTCAAGATATATTCTCTGAAAAGTTCCAAGTTCTTGTTTTAAGAATGTTGAAAACAAGAGAAAAGGCATCAATAGAATGCGTGTTGTACTATAGTATCAGCATCCATTTAATCAGAAAAAAGTTTCAGAAAGAGAATTTCACATGCTCCACATTTCAAAACCACATATCTGGTCCACGTCTTTTATCTAACAAACCCAGAAGTGGAGAAATTAATAACTTATTCATGAATAAGTTGCTGATGCGTAAACAGAAGAGAGATTTCTAGTTCACAGCTAGAAGGACTGGAGACATAGAAATACCATCAAATATGACTAAACTCAGTGTTGAGATAGAAAAATGGGCTGGAAAATTGAGAATTCAGGATATTTAGAGTGGTTTGAAATGCCACTTTTGACGGCATGAGTTGTCCATCTGCTGTGTGTTCACTTGACATTCTTTGTTCTCCGATGTTTTCCACACAGATCATTGATATCTGAAAAACAACTGAACTTCCAAAACCGAATTGTTCAGTGTCACGAATTCGGTCCATGGACTTCCGTTTATTCACCACCAGAGGTCACCCTTTCCTTTACATTGACTCTCGCACAACACAAACTGTTGCATAATAGCCCGGACTACATATTCCATCATTCATTGCACGATTTGCACACTGCACTGATTGCACTCATTGCACACAGCTGTTTCTTATCACCTCACTCACTATATAACACCCACTCAAACCACCATTCTCTGCTGAGTATTGTTTAGCCTGTACCCCTTTCCGAGTCTCTGTGGTTTCCTTGTTTTGCCTTGCCTGTTTTTGCGGTTTCTGATCTTTGCCTGTTTTCCTGGATTTTTCCCTCTTGTCTCGCCCCTGTGATTCTGATCTAGGACTATTCTTGTGTTTTTGCCCACCATATACCTGTTTGCCATTGTTTGACCCTGCCTGTTATACCACGTCTCTTTAATAAAAGCTTGCAGATGGATCCACACGTCTCACGTCTCGTCAGCCCCGTTACATTCAGTCTGAGCTGAGTTCAGTCTTGTTTGTGTAAACTCAATATACTGTAGTGTGTACACTGCCTGCTGTTATTAAAAATAGCATGTGAAACAATGCAACAACCTCACTATGTTGCATGTGTAATTCAGCAAACACCGTCCAGTTGTCATTTTGATCAGATGTTATGTAAGATGTCTTAACACAAATGGCGTGCACCTACCATTCTCAGTGACAACTGATCAAACGTTTTTTTTCAAACATCTTTTGACTCAGATTGCTGACTTAAATATTTATATTTGTAAACTGTACAGTTGTTATTGCAATGCTATTGCATCATATTGCGATAAAAAAAATACAGTGATGAACAGCATACTTACACATTTTGGCAAAGTTGTTTGCATTGCATTCAAAGTATTTGTTTTGTCAGTTAATGCATTCCTTGGGAATCGAACCCAAGACCTTAATGTTGTTAGTGTAATATATTTTATGAGCTACAGCAATAACAACACTGAGATGTGCAGTTTAAAATAAAATATAAAATAAAATAAAATAAAACAAAAAGTAAATTTAAAAAACACAAACTGATCTGCTTCTGTCTCAATATCTTGTAAAATAATATTATATTTTGTATTTTCAATATGTATTTAATAAAAAAGAATAGCTCTAAAAACTTGACTGAATGAGCCAGATGTTTGTTTGAAGCCACTGTAATAAAAAATCTGATATATCTGATATTTATAATAAATAACAAATTGCATTAATAATTAATTTCTTAAATAAACTAAAAACATTATATGCAAACGGGCAATCCACAAACATGCAATAGTCCAGGCGAGGTGCAAACAAAGTCAGAAACGGCGAGACAAAGGGATAATACAAGACAGGCAGAGAACTGAAACGACGAGGTAAACAGGCTAGGATCAAGACACGGGTAGACAGGCGAAGAACAAGACTAGACTATGACTAGATTACAGGCTCCGTAATGTAGCTATCGGCTAGCCAGCGATAAGCGCTAATACTCAACGTTCTAAGAAGGGTCTGAGTGGCTGTGGCTAGAAGGGATACAGCAAAAACCGGAAGCTAAGAATAAATAAAATTTCCTACATAGTAGATTGTGTTTTATTAACGTCTACACCTATCCCAACCCTAAACCTACCCCTTACAATAATGCAAAAATAGTAATTATTGTTGTATAGTGTGAGAAAAATTACGCTATATTGATGTGCGCATGCCCAGTAGTTTTTGCTGTATGCCTTCTAGCCTTAACCAGTCTGAGTGGGTGTTATATAGTGTGTGTGATTGGCTGCAGGTGAGTCCATAATCAGTGCGATGGAACATGGAGAATGTAGTCCAGAGTGACACGTAACAGTCTGTGTAGTGTGGGAGTCAATATAATGAGGTGGCGAGCGGACGAAAGGCCACGGACAGGATTCATGACAATCTGTGTGTACTATGTGTATTTATTATGTATATGTAAATACACACACATACAATATATATTTTGAAAATATTTACATGTATATATTTATATTCATATAATTTGTATTATATATAAATATATTTCATATATAAATAACATATTTTTCTTAAATATATATACATGCATGGGTGTGTATTTATATATACATAAAAAATATACACAGTACACACACATATACTATGTAAGCAAAAACTTTTATTTTGGATGCGATTAATCGTTTGATGGCACTAATATATATATAATATATAATTTAAAGTTGAAATTGCTTCAAGGTCAAGTTGAGTCTATTGCATTGTGGAATACAGTATTTTTCACAGTTTGCTCTGATTGTGTACTGCATATTCTAGCCAATATTGTATATCATTCTGGTATTCTATGCATACAGAACATTCACATATTGTGCACACCATACATACTGCAAAAAGTACTATGATCGCATGCTGTTCTGACTTCCACAGGCCTCTCAGATAATCCCAGTGCAGCAGGACGTCATTAGAAATGCCAGAACATGCAAAAGCAGCCTGTCCCTCACCATGAGTCAACACTGTCTCTCCTCAGCCGCCTCTAAGAATAGCAGATTAAACTCCTGGACAGGTGAAGGTGACTTTTATGCTCCATTTCAGGCAATGGATTCATTAAGCAGCCGCTCATCATGTGTGCCCTTAGTTTTGCAGGGAACACATCAATATTCCTCGTCTGAAAACACGAGCAAGGACGGCGAAGGAATGCAATGATTAGAGCTTCATCTTAAACGATCAATAAATCATCTGTCTGTCTGCTTTCACACTGACGATTTACATGCACCTTTATAAGCAGTGCTGTTAAACTGAAGCTCATGGAAACTGAACACTGTGATTATGTTAATGTGATTAAACTCGTAATTAGAGTAACAATAATCACAGCGAAATCCAGACAGTATGAAGACATGACGGAACAGAAACAGAACAGCTTTACATAACGAGGCATTGTGTTTTTTTATAGGTGCATTTTTAATAAAACAAAGGACACCAAGTGCACTAGAACCAGTGCATAGTTACCATTTAAAACAAGCAAATAAAAGCAGCTTTATGGTAGCATATGGTAGCATACTACCATATTATTCTTACTTTTTCTGCTGTATGTAATGCATAAAAACTACCTTCTTTTTTTTTTTTGAAAGAAGCCTCTTATGCTCACATTGAACATTAAACTCTTTAATTAATGCTTTAACATTAATGCTTTAAACTCTTTTGAATGTTTAAATTGGCAAGGCCTAAAAACAAGTGCAAATGATAAGCTTTCGTGACGATGAGCGTCTTTTTAGGCTGGCCCTAGCCAGTTGGTTGAGATCGCCGGGGGGCCCCCCTCAGCCGTGGACCCCTATAATCGTCACCACCTTTCACCCCACTAGCGACGGCCCTGCGTACATATACATATTTTATGCAAGAATAGTTAAACATTGCATATATGCAATTTCCCATAATCAGTGAAGTGCATATTTTGTGTGCAATAGTTGCAGTATGTGAACTGGAACAGAACTGATCCAGTTTCCCTAAACATGTTTGTGTTTCCACACATTGCTTCATGAGAACGTCAGTCGTGTG